TTGTATGTAGAATTTTACCATTCTGAAAAAAAAAACGGTATTCAGGAAGTCTGTAGCACTGTGATAGCCAATGGGACTGCTGTACTTCCACTGATCGTGCAGTGCCAGCAAGAGTGACTACTTGGTGCAAGAGGGCTAAGGACACCAAGATGAAATGCTCATGTCCAGATCCAGACAAGTCAGCAGAGTCAGCTCTTGCTTCCCGTTGCATGAGTGGTGCGCAGGCACAACAAGTTCACATTCGTTCATGTTAGATGCAAGGAAATTTGGAAGCATGTATTGCAGCTTTCTTGAAATTAGAACTCCATTTGTTCCAACTTAATTAGCTGTGAAGAGCACAGCACACTTATCCAGTATAAAGGTGCATTTAATGTAATTATTTTATCTTTCCTTTTTCCCTTGCATGAAACAGATTTAAGAGGGGAAACATCAAAATTACAGGGATTAAGATATAATCTTTATATATTTTTATTCAGGCAGACCTTTGGCATATGAACTGATTTGTTGTTGAAAGGTTTTTAATTAGTTGGTATTGGTCCTTATAGTGTTGCATTTTTAATAGTTTTAATGTATCTGTTGTCATTATGCATTTCAATTCAGATTTCTTTTTTAATCTGGATTTGTTAGCCACCTTGAGTTACATTTTTGGGTGGAAATTCATGATATAAAACAAAGAATTTTGATTTTAATATTAACCCAGACTCACCTGTGCTAGAAATGCAGAGCTTCAGTGCCAAAAAGGCATTGCAGCCATCAGGGAAGGACTAGAGGGCAGATGTCCAGGAACCAATTACGCATGAGCAAAAGGGTCATAAGCACAACAGGGCTCGGTTACCACATTTTGTATAAAGTGATGTATTTGCTATCTAAGAAGAAGGATCCCTATTGAGTCCAGGGTCCTAAACAACCTCACCATACGGCTACAGAAAGAAGTGCAGCCCTATAACTGCTAGGTGCTGTCCAGGCGGCCACAGGAAAATTTGGAGCCCCAGTTCTGACCTTGGAAAAGCATTTCTGGACTGGCGATGGGGCCTCAAGTGTGGAGTGCCCTCCCTCTGCCCTTGCAGCCACTGTGGTTCTTCCCACACTGGTTGCAGTCCCAAGCTGCAAGTGCAGCTGTAGAGCCAGTGAGGGAAAGACATTCTGGAGGGGAGGGAGTGAACCTTTGCCAAGATATGAGGCATCTCAGTGAAGTCTCAGTCTCTTGCTCCTGTAAGCAGAGGTAAAACATGAAATCAGATGTCTTATTTTGTGGGGGAAATGAGGGGGCAATTTCTGCTCCTCCCTCCCTCCTGTCGATGCCCATAATCTTGCTTGGATGGTGCCCTTATAATACTTAGACAATGGCATAAATTTAAAGGACAAATCCAAAGAACAATTATGAGGTTTCCAAACTCTGTAATAAATTGCCTTCCAATAAGTCTTCATGTAAACATGTAAGGATTAGGTGTACATGCTTTGCATCTGCTACTCAGACAGCATTCTGCTATTCATTCTGGGTTAGCTGAGTGTGTCCTACTCAGTAAGAACTTGGTTCTCAGAAATGTGAAGCTAATTAAACTTCAGTAATGGTCAGTAGGTTTTTGAAATTTTTCCTTCAGGCTATGATGGAACATGTATGTTAGCTGCCTGTTTAACATGGCTAATATTTGTAATGAAATTGGCTATATGTCTTTCAGCTATTTTAAATTTTATATATTGAAATTTTATGTGGTATTTAATTTTCTGCATTTGTGGGTTTTATGAATTGTGGTGAACATCAGAGAGAGCTACAGCTATTGGATGGTATACAAATGAAATGATGACGGATCCTTTCATAAGCATCATGTTTTTCTTGAACGATCTCCTGTAGGTTTTTATATGGACTAAGAAATGTCAGGTAGAGCTGTGAAGCTTGTGTTGTGGGGGGCTGCCATTAAAATGATAGAAAGTCACAATTCTTCTACTACTTGGAGAATAGGAACAGGAAGAAGCTGCATGACTTAGTGGGTAGCAATGACGACAAAGCCTCTGATGAGATTTCTGTCCCAGTGGAGCCATACAATTCCCTCTATCTTAGCTGGGAAAAAAGCAAAACATTTAGGTGTGAGGATCATGCTAGTGAGCGGAACTGGACTGCTGTGCCTGGGATGAGGAAGACACAGTGGCAGCACATCACAGTTACTAATGATAAGACACTTCTGGCCACTTTCTAAACAAATATTAATGGAATTTATCACGAGGCAAATATACTTAGGATTAGGGTATTAGGAACTCCTACTGAGCAGGAGTGGGCAACATGCGGCCTGCCTTCTCTGTCCCCTCCTCAACCAGTGCTAAACCAGTTGCTGCAATAGTAGCAGCAGCAGGGGAGGCAAGAAGTAGTTATCTTTTAAAACAAGATGTGCTAAATGCGATTACTTTGTTGCGAATGGGAATTATGCTCCTGGAACCTTCTTGACTTTGTGGAATGAGACTATTCGATCATGGCTCTATTAAACAAAGCTGTTTGATTTCTACTTATAAGGAAGCGAATTAAAGGTGTGCCAGGGTTAGTTATGGGACGATGTGCATGTGCTACGACGGCAACCCAACAGCAAATTGGAATTACAAGAACTTTGTCTCCTTGTGCGTGACCATTCAAGAACACACCTCCTGTTAACTCCTTTGTAGCCTCACACATAAGTTGGGGGCAGTGACAACCTCTTACAAGGACTCTCTTCACACCTTCATTTTTCTTTTGTGTTATCGCAGAGAGATTACATAGCACATTTAAACAATTTTCAGCACTAAACTAACCCACACCACTTGGACCATATTAACATGATGAGACAGTTTTATGTACATCACACGTCAGACCCTATCAAGAAACATAGTTATCATGGCTCGATAAAGATACTATACTTTATTGAACTCATTCTAAAAACAACATCAGCAAAGTTGTACTTCAGCTTATAAAAATGACCTTGGTTGATGCACTTTAATAAAGAAGGCCCCTTTGATATTGGATTTATGCATGCATAATTTATACTGCGCATAATGAACTGGGAAGTTCCTACACAAATTCCTGAATCAGTGAACCAGAACTGCACATGAGTTCTACCTGGTTCTTCCACATCTCTCAATTAATTTCACTGGAAACTTTCTGATGGATCATGCCCTAGTCATAAAATTACAATTAAATATTACTTACAAGATTCTATCCTATTACAAGATTTACAGGAATGTGTGCTTTGCATATCAACTACCAGCTGGAAAATGTCATGAAGGCAGATGCCTCTGAATCATCCCATGGCCTCTAATTTCAACACTGGTTACATTTTATTCTACTATGTCATTAGTTGTGGATTGTAAGGGGCTTTGAGATCCTGATAAAAGTGATGAAATAGTGTACCATTTATTTAAATAAGTATATTTGCAAAACTATAAATGATGATTGGCAGTTCGTAATAAATTTCTTCCCCAAGAATTTGCTATCATTGCTTATCTTTCCTTTAAAAATGCCATTCTGAGTCTTGTAAAATATTATTTCTAATTAAATAGACATAAATATTAAGTATAATAATATGACTGTTAAATGTGCAAACTGATGTGACAGTGAGATGGATTGGGTGTAAGAATGAACACAGGCAAAACTGAAATGGATGTGGAATACAATGATCTGAGCATCCCTGCTTGAATCTTAATTCCGCAACAGATTTACTGAATAGCATTTTTCAGTTTCCTTCTCTTACCTTCTGTGAATGGGAACACCATTAAAACCTATTTACTTATAAGTACTTGCTACAGAATGACATACCAGTTGTGGTACAGAAGCTAAAATGTGAACTATGAGTTGGGAAGTCCCTGGGTGAAAACTCAATCTAGCCTTAAGCTGCTCTCTCTCAAGCCACACAGACCCATTTACGATATGAGGCTAAACAATAGCAACTCACTATACAGAGTTGTTTCCAAGCATTAATTAAAAAATGGATGTGAAGCTGTTATAACTTTCAAAATGTGCTAAGTATTACTTATTACTACTGCAATGCTCACCAAATGGTAGGAACGTGTATGGAGGCTGGATATGTGTAGGCTGGATGTTGCCCATCTCTGTATGACCATATTCATTCCTGACCTTTGCATCAAGGAGCATTTAGTACAACATGACAGTGGTTTCCCTTTTCCTTAGAGTTAGTTTCTATGCATGCAAATAGGTATCAGATTAAAAAGTGGACACAGTGCTGACTGATATCACAAATGTAACAACAGCTCCCTGGAGCAGAAGAAAATGATAATATTCCTCTGTAAATTCAAAGGACACTGCAGGAGGCAGAGATCTCTCTATGCATAGTCCTGCCCACACTGGCAAAGCAATTCAGAAGGATGAAGAACAGAAATACATCTAGGGCAAGATCACCATCACCACCACTTAGCCTGGTTAAACACAGGCTAAGCAACATATCACAAAATTTTGTGATATGAGGAAAGACTAAGATGACAATTATAAAGAATTCTGCAAAAGTGGTATGTTCGGTGTCACTAATAAAGGAGTGACAAATGAACCCGCAACAAAATGTTGCAAAGTATCTTCATGTCTTAAGAGAAGTGCTCCTGTTAAGGATTGCAGTCAGTCATTTCCTCCTTCTGGACACTATACAGTAGAAAGAGTTCAAACATTCTACTCCATTCCATCTGATATTCAAAATTTATAGCGGTGTTTAAGCTTCATTGAGCTGGAGTAGTTTTTGCCCCAATAGAACATGTTTGTTGAAAGGCTTTAAGTTTAATTAACAACTGCAAATCTAACGTTTCCCTGGGCATTTTGATATCACCTTTACATTTTCTCCATGCCTGACTTTTGGCTCTAATTTTATTGGCTCCAACCTCCAAGTTTGCTATTAGAAGGAGTGATGATAATATTATCATATTCTAGTACTGGCAAACCCTTTTGTTCCATATTCTGAAAAGATACCTTTTAGTATTCTGAGAAAGACTGTACATACCGGACCTTCTGCAAATACGTAAAAAGAAACTGAGAATGGGAAATACACTGTTTATTAACATTAGTTGCTAAAAATTGCTTCAAAGGGCTTTGCTGAGAACACATGCTTATTTTACATCAGAATTCACAAAACAAAAGAGATAGCTCTGTTTCCAAATTAGACACCGGATTCCTTTTCACACCTTGTAAGTGATATATTTTGGGACACCAGCTACTACAGAGCCAGAACATTTGTGCAGTCATTTTCCAAGTTGGCTCTGGCTAGCTTGACATTCATTTCATCTCCTTGCCTTTTTTTCTCGCAGAATCTTTTTGCTTTCCTCCCGTCGTCTCTTGTTAACAGGGTTCCGAGGATCATAAATTTCAAAAGTGTCTTCATCTTGCACACTTGCATCTTTTACCTTTCTGGTTTTATCCTCAAAATGGAGCACATGTGACATCCTGTTAAGAAAACGATAAGTAAACATATTGGTTGACCAGGCTGATCAGAGACTTTGTCTTGTAACAGGTCTAATCAGGATGAATACTAGGATAAGCAGCAGTCAACCATTTGCATATCATTACCTTCTGCATGTCACATACTGAAATGCTGATTCCATTTGTTAAACATGATTCAGCACAAATAAGTGGGCTTGGAAAATAAAACATTGCTAGCAATGGAAAAGATCAGTGGCTAATGCCTACAAGGGTTAGGAATGTTACCGACTTGTTAGAAATACTCAATGTATTTGAATTCCTGTTACCTTGAGGAGGTATCAACTTTCTATCAAAACATGCTGATCATGTTACCCTTTCATTAAACTTCTATACAAATTTTAAGCAGCCTCATACACTTCTAGAATGAAGTACATTTCTTACTGGCATGTATGATCATCCAAGAAGACAAAGGGTTTTCATAGAATGCTGAAAGTAAAAATTAATAGCTACCCCTTCCATAAAACAATACATTAATTGGGATTGCTAAGTACTATACTATATTGGTCTATTGGACTGGTAGACTCCAGTATCTATATATACCACTTGCTGAGCAACTTGGTGGGAAGATGCTGCTCTGCTCATGGCATCTCATGGGTAACCGACGGGCCACAATGTGAGCAAAATGCTGGACTAGATGGGCCCCTGGTCAGATCCAGCCTGGCTTTTCTTATATTCATATACTGGGTGCTTGTCTCAAAATGCTAGTCATTTGCAATGGATTCTCATCTTTGACCTTTATCTTGAAAACTGACCACACTTGTGTCTGAACCCACTTGGGGTAAGGGCCTTGTGCTTTAATCCTTCCTGTACATATGTCTGCTCATGACGCATTCAAAACATATGCCAATCTTGTTATTTCTTTGTGCAGGTTGTAGACACAGGCCTTTAAAACTTGCTTTGATTGGCTACAAATATGCCCCAGTGCCTGAATCACCTCTCTCACTCCTTGAACGAGACGGAGGAGCTACTTTGCAGCTCTACTGCTTCAGGACCCAGTTGGCAGTGCACATACATATGAGAATAAATTCTTGATTGTCTTGTTCATGTAACCTATGCTGCTTCTGTGCATTTAACTTTGTTGGACTATGTCCATAACATTTTGAGGAAACAATGCACAATGGTGTTGATCTGACTTCTCTTGCAGAGACCTACCCTGATATCCCTGGAGAATTTGCTAATGATGCTCCCAAATTGTTAACTTTTAATTGTTCTTCTTGCATTGAATAGCCGTTACTGGAAAACTTTGAACCATGTCTGATGACTACTTGCTTCACATGAGACCTGACTTCATAGCAGATTAAAGGATGTCTTAAACAGGAAAAAAGATTTCATTGACTAATGTTTGGGAGTTTGGTTATGAAAGCCATGAGTCAGCCAATACTGCCTGCACGTCTGTCTGTACTTGCCTGACTAAGGCAAGAAAGAACTTTGCTCATTAACTTATATCCCTTTATAATATATCTTTATCTTACAATAAACCAGTGAATATATATCACATGATGGTATTTCAGTGATTCATTGTTTTGCCCTGGTTGCAGAAACCCTTACTTAACCCTACAAAAATCTTCAGCTACCTACAAAGATGTTTAATATAGAAAAAAGAAAAAAATACACTTGGAAATTCACCACCGTTCAGCAAGAAATGTGAAACTGAGACTGAAAATAGATCCTCAAGACTCCCTATCTGTCGGGTTCTTACAAAACACTGTATGGTGCATGATGGCAATTATTCAAATCTAGTCAACAACTGTGCATTTTAAAAGCAACCCCAAAGAAACAGTGAAAGTCATAAGAGTCTCAGAAATAAGGATATCTTTTCATCAGTTAAATGTCTCAACTTTGCTGTTACTCATACTGTACTTTCCCAAAAGTTCTGCATCAAATAGTGGATAATTCAGTAAAAACAGAAAATACATATGTTGGCAGAAAGTAGTAATTCTATACGAACAGAGCCCATATAGCTAATTTGAATACCTAAGCTTAGTTTGTTCCAACATTTCTTTCCCCCCACCCCCACATCTTTACTTAAATTAATGTGTGAATTAACTGTGATTATTCAAGTTCCCAAAGATATGGAGACTTATCAACATGGGTGGGAGTCTTAACTATCTTGTTTGGCTCTAAGTGGCTGGAAAGCCTGGGCTGGATCAACATAGCAACTCTGGCTCTATTAGTAGATGAACTCTTGTGTTGGGAAGAATGTTCCACTCTTTGAAAAGGATACTCCTCTTCTTTCACACTAATGACAGATTTAAGAATGGTAAATCAGGATTGCTCCACTGAGAAACCCAGCATTTTTTCATATCATAACACTCTGAACCAAATCTGACTTCTACTTAATGCCTGGGGGATTAATACTTTTCACAGAAGTTATAAGATTTAAATAAAAACCAAATAATTAGATCCTCCAGAAAGGTATTTTTGCATTCCCTTTTAAATATTATTTCAGAACAGGCAAAAATAAGACCATCTTATTTAGAGTGTTCATTGTTTCCAGCTGTTTGTTTGTTTGTATTGTAGCTGGATTTTATTTACAATACTTTAATATTGTAAATTTTTGAAGACAGCATAAAGCTGGGGTCCAATTAGGAAATAATAATCACCTGCTATAGATCATTAGGTCTCATGTTCTGCAAGCAGACTATAAAAGCAGACTGGCCAATACTACTAACTAGATTATCCTGTTGACTCAATAAAGAAGAAACTAACAGAAAACATATGTGATGATAGATAGAAAACCATATTTCCTTATATCTCTAACTAAGAACAAGGAAAAGCTGCACTACAAAAATTGTAAGATTAAATCCTAAAAATTACGCAGAAATTATTACTTTCCCTCTCATTTTTGCTGTTCAAAAGTTTTGTAGATTTTAATTTAATTATGTCTGTTAATTACCATTTTATGGCATTGCTATCGTTTATTGTTTTATTATATTTCTTTGAACACCTTCTGTTAAGTGCAAAAGCAGCTTCTATAGGCAAAAAACAAAAGGGGACAGCTTCATCTGTAATAGTAACATAATAATGACAATTTATGAAGGCTGACATGCATTTCTTGTTTAACTCAGAGCAAAATCATATAAAAACTATTATAAATTGATTCATCTGTTTTTCTTCCACCTTTTTGAGCCATTTTTTCTAAGGCACAGGAAGAGATTGGAACCACAGACCTGTTGTGACTCCAGATTAATTCATTCCTGACCAATGTGCCTCCATAAATCACTAATTGTAGTGAGGTGAAGGAATGCCTTAACTTTGCAATATCCAATGAGAATATGCTTCCAGGTTTGTTACATTGTTATTATGTAAGGCCCTAATATGCACCAGTAAGGCAAAACTTATTTTGTCCATCATATCCAATATGCAGGTCTTGATGACTAGTCAGCAAATGAGGCAGTACATAAATGTTAATATAAACAGGCACACAATTATTTACATTGTAATTTCTTTCTGTGACAGTGATTATGACTCAACAAAAACTTATTGAGTGCCAGAGCTCATTCTGGTTGGTGAGCTGGGACAAACAAACAAAAGAGAAAAAATGGGATGCAGGGTCCTGGATCTCTTCAAGCTTCTCAGATAAGCAAAACTGTTTTCTTAAAGGGGGGAAATTGTTCCACTGACAAGAACTGCATCTAGAGCCAGTGTGGTGCAGTGGTTAAGAGCGTGGGACTGGGACTCAGGCGATCTGGGTTCTAGTCCCTGCTCGGCCATGGAGCCAACTGGGTGACTTTGGGCCAGTCACAGACTCTCAGCCCAACCTACCTCACGGGGTGGTTGTTGTGGGGATAAGAAGGAGGAGGAGATGTAAGCTGCCTTGAGCCCTTTGTAGGAAAAAGACAGGATATAAATCGATCAATAGATAAATAAATAAATAAATAAATAAATCTAGTCACTTTTATAATCTTGGTTGCAATCAGGGCCGTCTTAACAGCATTATGGTCCCCGGGCAAAGCAGTGTACTGGGGCCCCTATGACAACTACAACTACTGTTAATTTTGGAAGTTTTCCCATTTTCCAAGGGTTAACATACACAGATTAGTATGGGGCCCATGGCCAAGTGCCCATCAGGCCCAAGCGTTAAGACGGCCCTAGTTCCAATATTGGTGAAAGAGAGCAATTCCATATTGTGTATCCAAGCCCAATGAAGGCTCAACAGCTCTGGGATATGGGTGAGAAAGCTTTGAATCTCCCTTAGCAAGTGTCTGGGCTTCACATTTTGGGAAACTTGCCCTACATTAAAAGGACCTAATAAGTCAAGGATGAAGTCAAAATGAAAGCAGTCTTCTCACACCAATTTAATTCTTCTTGATCCAAGAAAAGTAAGATTTCATTATTAGACAGTTTTATATTTGTGCATTTTTTACACATTCCCCAGGCAAGGGCACACTGAACCTGTCACACAACTCAGCAGGTGGACAGTTACGCACTTGGCATTCTTTGATAAGTTGCTTCACTGAGTCAGAATAAATTCTTCATTGGGCTTTGGGCAGAGAATTATGCCTCTCAGTCCATATAAGCTGCATTTTTAGAGTGCTTAGCATCATCTTTCTTTCTAGGGTTGAGAGTGCAAATCATCCTGAGCTGGAGCCTCTTTGGAGTCCGTTTGCCTTCAGTGCATTGATATCAAGGGCTGGTTGGGCATATATGGGTGCAAATGGTCCCCCAGATACCAGGGCCAAGGCCGTTGAGGGCTTTATCTGTCAAAACAAGCACTTTGAATTGGGCCCAGTCCATAATTGGTAACCTATGCAATTCTTTTAATACAGGTGTTACATGGGCCACTCTAGGAGTACCAGACACCAACCGAGCAGCCCAATTCTGTACTGAGTGCAACTGCCGAACAATCCTATTTATATTTGTATTTATTTAAAAAATTGTAGGCCGTCCATTACTGTCGTCGCTGAACGGCTTACAACATTATTTCAGTCTTCAATAAAATAATTATTCTGGATGTACCAGTG